GGAAGTAATTGTAGTAAAGGAAGTGATCGAAAAAGTAATTATAGAGACGGAAAAGGTGATCGTGATGAAGCGATTATTGTGATGTTTGCAGATATTTTCGGTTTTACTATAATATAAAAACTTGATACACGATTATAATATGGTTGAATTACGGTTAAATGGGTTAAATGATATTAAATGTATATTATAGAAACGCGGTTCTGTTATAATAAAATAACTTGATCGCTAATATTATTATAAATTATAAGTTAATTTAAAATAAATACATTGTAGGTAAACAGTCATATATATTACTTTTTAAATACATTCACAATTCACAATTAAAGTAAAATGATCTCCCATCGTACAATTGTAACGATTGTACTAAAATAAACGTATATTTCGTATATTTTCAAATATTGTACAATAATCGCACAATTTTTATATCCTAAACTTTTATTGCACAAAAGTTGAACGTTTTCTGTATACTTAATTTAAGTTTATTTTCAATTGTACAAAGATCGCACATTTTCAATACACTATAAAATCGACATGGCCATTTTTATCCAAAAAACTGCAATAATTGTATGATTTCCGCACGGACTTGAACAAATATTGCACAAAAATTGGATGATCTTTTTTCATAGGGTATGAATATATATTCTAGTATTTATTGAGCATTATAGCACTCATATTTTTAACAAAAGAAAATATATAGTTCTAGGAATTTTGGGATTTTTTTTTATTAAATTATAACTATATTTTTATATTTTTTGTTTGTTTATCAAAAGGTTTCAATAAAGGATCATTAAACTTTTTTGGGACTGAGTTCTTTATATAAATCATTTAAATAACTATTATATATTGTAAATGTTTTATACTTATATTTAAATTAAAAACAAATAAAACATATTACATATATATATACAATATACAAGAATCATTTTATCTTCAATATCAATTCACCAATGTAAAATTAACCATTTAAAGATGTACTTGATAAAAAGTTATATGTATGACTATACTAATATTTTTTATTTAAGTGCAATAGGTTTTTTGATAAAATAGTGTTTTTAAATAAAAAAAAAAAGTTAAAGTTTTAAGAACATGTAAAATAATATGAACGCGTAGATAGTCATAATTCACCCTACTGAATCATAGTCCTTTTTGTCACTATTATATGATGGAGAGGATA